GCGGTCATTATGCCTAAGTTAAAAGAATTGCTTAATAAATGACAAAAACAGATGATCATTATGTACATTCCCAAAAACTGTGTTTATTGTATTTTAAATTCTTTAAAAAGCAAGTACTCAACACCCCCCCCAAGATCTTTAATTTCTACTTTTCTGTCTTTTGTACCGACAGCTTTGTCTCTATGAATAACTGAACTTCCAATAAACAAAATATAGATCTACATTATGCTGCCTTTACGTTTGATAAAGCCTGTATACTCAAAGCATGCAAGTTACACACTATGTTTGTTTTTACGTAATCACCATGTAAAGGAAAAGGGAAGCAATGAGATCGTAAAAAAAAATATACAGGGATTCGAATTCGATCTCAGAAATACCTAGTTTCTTACAGAGAATACATGAACCATGCAGCCAATAAAACCAAAACTTAAATCATGCTATAATAATTATTCTTAAGGTAAATTTAAAAAAATTACATCCATCTGTATATACATAATGATTAGGTAAAATCAAACATGGTGTGATAGTAGCACTGTGTCTAAAAGTAAGCTCATTTTATTAGGATCCCCCCCCCTAAAACCGTCTCTACTGCAGCTACATTCACCTTCAAATAGCTACTTCTTATATATACATCCTCTTTCCTCCACATATTCTCGCTTGGTTGTAATTGGACGGATAGCTCGACAAAAAATTAGCCATTAGGTCTTTACACTATCCCCCCTCCTAGTAAAAACCCAATCGTCTTTTCATCAAATGTATATTATCCATAATATAGAAAAATAAATAAGTAAATATACATGTACAAATTATTGATTGATTGAATTTTGCTCAACGCCGAGTCGGCAAGATTTCAGCAATTATTGGCGGGAAATTTTTTATCTGTTGCATGCAAAATACATGTAGTTGGTAACCTTAATATAGGGAACTATTTAACGTTCCATCCGACGGACTATAATTTCAAAAATATGTTAACCGTTAAGAAAGATTTTTGTCTGTGTTCGTCAACAAAATATCTCATAATGTACAAAATTTTACTTTAAACATCAATTTTATGTAAATAATCTAAAATTTATTGTAAAATAAAATAATAATCATGCGTCGTTCGTACATTTTTAATTAACTTCGTACGTGAGAGACCCCACCTAATTTAAGAAAAATAAGATTTAGAGTTACATATAGCGGAAAGTCACGGGAAACATAATTGTATACACATTGGCTGAAATTCTCGACTCAATAAGTATGAATGCATCATTTTTGGAAGATGATTTTTCATTTTTTGTTCTTTATAGCATAAAGTTTATCATCACTACTTACATGTATCACCGGGTGATAAGTAAAGACTAGATCACTCGTGGATTTCCGACGATGATAGTTTATTTGTAACGCAACATTCTAATGAATTTGAAAAAGAGATTTTATATAACGTTTACTAAATATTTTTATCAACAGAAAAAAATGAAGGAATACCATTATGAATTTCAGAAATACAAAATTATAATTTCTTTGTTACACGGAGTATTAGAAATGAATTGAGGGAAAGAAAAGGAAAAACACAAGCTATGTTGAATTACGATATAAAACCATGTGCCAGAACATTTTCTTTCTTTTACAAGTCGATTAACTGCAAACGAAATAAATGTTAAAAAGAGAATTGATTATGTACAGACTCTATTGAGAATGTCTTAATAAATATTTTATTAGAAAATGCAGTTAAACCAATTAAAAAAAGAATAAATGAATTAGATAGTCGGATTCAGCTTGGGTGCGTAGGATTCTAAAATAAATTATATCATATTTAGCCAGCGATGAAGCTTTATATACATGTATGCTGACTTAAGAAGCCACCCCCCCCCCAACAAAAAAAAATCATTAACTCTCCTTTAGAGAAAAATAATATGCATGAAGGCAGGCAGCGTATGCATCTACAACATTCTGCTATCCCGTTCCTAACCCAGTCCAACACAACACTTATAAAATTATAGACATTTCAATTATTTGTTTTATGATTTTGTAAATAAAAAAAATCAAATAAAAAAATTGAGATTTATAATTAGTTATTTTTTGAGGGTATCCATCCTCTCTTTAAAAAAAAGAGAATTGTAGAAGAATTTTATAATGTAGAAAACGTTTTGATGTTAAAATTGAGAGTCTTAGTACAAAACGGAACCATATTCCGTTCTTCACGAACAGGTGAAATACTGCTCAAGATGATTTTTGCAGAAAAGTTTGGTATTAACGGAGTTCAAACTACTTAACATTATGCTGGATATTTAAAACACCTTTCACAAAACTATTGTTTTTTTATCATCCGACTTTAGAGTATTTTTTTTTTGGTTTACAACTCTTTGAAATATTAATGACGTAGAAGGATATGTTTTACAAACCGGGCCCAGCTTCTTATATTTTCGCCAGCCAAGTTAAAGAAATTTAAAAATCATTGATAATCCATCGTCAGTATTTTTTATAAACTTGCAAAATAAGGAGTGAAATATGTAAGGAAATTAACTTAAAATCTGGTAATGGAAGAGAGACAAAAGTTTAGATAGAGAGAGAATAAACATCTTTTTTAAGGAAATGATTCCCCGTGTTGAGCCTCTTTTGCGTCAAAGGGAAGCAACTTGCACAATTTATCGTATGCAGTCACTTCGGACATTTACCTGTTTCCGTTTGAGAATTACATATGAAGAAATTGCCTTAAACAATACAAGTATTACTTGTTTCTTGGTATCTCTTAATATTGTAGTTAGGAAAGTGCGTTTTAAAAGTTGTTGAATCGTGGCCTTTGGATACTTTGTACTGAATCGATATGCATAGCTGTTTGTTTTGTTTTGGTTGGTTGATTATTTCTGTGATAAATAATTAAAATACACGTAAGTCATTCAAAGACATGAAACATTAAGTAATATATCTAATATAATATTGCGAATTTAATCGTGAATGAATGAATACATGTGCACACGATGATAGTAAATGAAGTTCACACACTAGGCTATTACTGCCTCAGTACATATGCGATTTTCTGTACCAGATTACGTCTCCTCAGGCTAAAATTTAAACTCTAAACTAAAATAAAAGATATATTCTGTACTTCCTCAGTAATGCACCATGCCATTTTTTCTTCGCTATATGTCTACCAACTTATTATTTATCTGGTGTTAGATATGGCCTTACGTCTTCTGCTATTTGAAAAAAAATAAGTGCAGATCGGACTCGGGATTCCTCTGGCTTTTGTTTACATTGATCACAATAAAAAAATAAGGCTCTACGATGGGGAATACATTTAAAATTTGTTTATTTTATTAGTACATGTTTAAAATGATCCAATTTTTAAAGAAAAAAATCTTTGAACTGCAGTTAACGATGTCTAAAACATTCCTTAACGTGAAAACCACGTAGTAAGTGTAGTAAAAATACCGGGAAATCTTTCTCAACTTTATTCGCTTTTTTCTCATTATGACGTTGCATACGATAAGGTCGATTTCTATCTGACGAGGCTCAAATAGAGGATTTTTAAGTTTGTAATGTTCTTTGTGAAGCATGTATCTTTAATCTTAAAAAAATCGCCTATATTATCATTTGTTACCATAATTTTACTGCATGCCTTTCATCACAAGACACACACTTTTAAATAAATCTGCTTACCAGTATACACATGTCGTGCATTTTTTTTAATGGACGCATGTTCCGTCTTTGGTAACTAATATGACATTTTGATTGAATATATATATTACAGACTGATTTATAAATAGTCAATATCATTCAAAGTATATTTACATGAAATATTTTATAAGTATTTATAAGTATTGTCAAGGAATGATGCGGGTTTGTTAAGGCAGCACACGGATCAGAATTCAGCGAATTAACACTTTTTTATAATATGTAACACTAATAAATCGGAATTTAACCCCTGTGTTAAATACAGAAACCCAGAAACGACAAACTTCCGTTTATATTATGCCTCTGCATATTTTGATTCATTTCTACAACCCCATATTAATCTTGGATATCGATGTTAAGAAATTGTCATCTCTCAGCCTCCTTCATATAGCTTACTATGACGTCATGTCATATAGGCAAGTAGAATACTTGGTTGTAACCTTAACATACCTGCGGAGTTACAAAAAGACACATTTACTTTTGGGGTTTTCCTTAAAAGTCCTATCGTTTGCATCATTGCTTTACATGTACCAGAAGCTCTACATATACCTATTTTGTAAATTGAGTTTTTCACTGGTTATGTTTTGTTTTATAAATAATCAATTTTATGAAGTTTTCTGTTGAATACTTTAAAAAGAATTTATCATATTTCAATTTATTGCATTTTGTTTTATTACATTTTACATTGTAATCAACGCAAAAATAGAATAATGACAAATGCAACAACAAAAAGTATGTAATTTAATTGTGCATTAAATACCCACATAAAATGTAATAACGCAAAATGTTTAAACATGAAAATGTGTTTATTATATGTGTGACACGTGGAGATAATACAATTTGCATTGATCTCAACGCAAAATATAATAACGCAAATTTAATAATGTTTATAAAGGACAGATGATGCGAACAAACGTTTGTAAAAAAAAATTGAAAACTACAACTTGAGCCATGTTTGAAAGAGTATAGAGTAAAATGAATGGGTTTAACTGGGTAGGTTTTAATTTTTTATTCAAATTTTCACACAAGTTTGGAGTGAAAAAAAAATGCAAACATTTGTATTGTAAAATAAGAATGGTAAAAGAGATGCAGAACTTTGAACATCTTAGAAGGTTTACATCTTCTTTATATTCTAGAAATCTATTATTTGCATCATCGTCAATAAAATTAGGCCAAAAAATATATACAAATTCAGGCATTCATTTTTTGTGTGTATCATCTGTTCTTAAAGACAACTGCTTTAAAATACTAATGACATTAAAAAATAGAAATTTCCACCTTGAAGAATGTTATAATATTTTCCAATTGCAAAATTTCCTTAATTCAACATGGTTTTTACTTACACTCCCTCGGTGTAGTAAATGGTTACATTAACAATAGGCGCAGTGATTTCTAGATAACAAAAGAAAAGAAATATTTATTAGAAATCAATATGTAGGAAACTATGAATATCTTTTCATAATAAATTTTACTCATGTTCAACCAAGCCCCCATTCTTAACAGTAGTGAAGGAAAAACTTCAAGAGTAGAATGCAACTATATTTATGAGAAGTGGGTAAATCGGATTCGGATGTTAATGGATTCCGAGAATTTTAGAGGAAATTTGAAATCACCAGATTTTACCAAAATTAAAAAATTCGACTTTTTCATGGATATAAAGAACGACTCAATAAAATAAATAAAATAATAAATAAATAATAATAAATAAAAAAAATTTTAAAAATGTTAAATTTACATACATTGTCATTGGTCATTTGTAAATGATTTATAAATTTAAATGATATTAAATTCCTCATTATAAAACTCATTTATTACTGTTCGTTATCTCCTTCTTTTCATTCATATTAACAAACAATCTGATTTTACACACAAGTATCCTAGATTTAACATCAAATAGATGCTTGTGAATAAATATACCACAAAGTCTGACACACCTGTTTCATATTTATATATTTTACTTGGAAAAGACGTTGATGATAATCTAACAGCCAAGCTCTATGATAAACGTAATGACTTTATTTTTACAATCCTCAACTTTCGACATATACCTCGATCGTCTGTATGCATACGGGGTTAATATATATCAGTTGAGTCGATACTCAAGAGCATACTCTGTGTATTCCGCAGGGGTTGTAAGGAAGCATACAGAATATTCTACCTTGATAAGTCAGTGAAGCATTATGACGTCATAGTGGGCGAGATGACATCAATTTTAGAACACATGTTTTCGTAATATTGGTAATTAGAGATGTAATTTAAATCGATAATAAATTGAAAAGTGTAAAGATAAACAAAAATAAGAAATTTTCATTTTTTTTGGTATATCTGTCAATTTCATTAAAATCTAACAATGATGACGTCATATGTGTACATCGAGTAACATCGACTTAACAGGAAATTATCATGTCGTGTAAAGAGAATTTGGTTAATACGGTATGTACAAAGATACGTAAAATGGAGTTTAAAGGCACATATCGGGAATATTATGTGAAATTCATTTGGAGTTCAGTTAAATAAACAGGTATGCTAATTATTTTCATCAATTATATTCTCGATGGAAGACAGTCAGCTATATCCGTATCCTAGTCAACCTTTCCTTCGTCATTCGTGACAAAAATAATGCCTAGAACAACAATAAGCTTAATATTTCAAAACGTAAGATTTGTTCAGATGAAGAGTTCGCCTTCTAAAATGCTTGGAGAGTGCTGCTAGAATCCCGAGTTAAGCATGGTTTTACGAAAATACTTGGTTTATATGTGTGTAACAGGAAAGGAAAAAATGCATGGCTGGACCGGGAATCGAACCCGGGACCCAATATCTCCAGTCAGGTGTTCTACCAACTGAGCTATCAAAGCCAATTTCCACGGCCCAAGCCATTTCATGTGTAAAATACAAAACCGTAGAGTAAGGTTTCGTGCAAATGTGTGTTATAATTATTTTACTGACAGGACAGTTAGATTCTAGCAGCACTTTTTAGGCAAAATAGATGTTTTTTGGGCTATATTATTTACTCAAATACGTTATTAAACTCCGGGGTATTGTTGTTCTGTTAGATTTTTAATTAAGGAACATTTCTCTATTGATAGAAGTCACGTGATGTCGTGGTAATGGCCAATGTCATAGCGTTAGACCCTCTTTTATCTTTAGGCACTAGTTATTTAAAGTGTACGTTTATCAGTGGTTTTGGTAAATTATCTAACTTAATTTTCATTAAAAAGTCTAAATAATCCGAAAAATGATTTATATGCTTCCTTATCATTCCCCCGTACAATTTCTTAAACGACTTAAATTATTAACAAACAAGTTGATGAAACAAACATTTCATCATTTTGTACGCTTTATAGTTGACACAATGACTTTTTAGCAATTTATCTTTGAATCACTGCTGACTGATGTATCTATTGATTGTATATTGTAAATTGATTTTCCGATATTTCTCGATCAAACAAAAAGAGTACTTGGCAAGTGTGACCGTTCGTCATAGTATGTTGACTACTTTATGGCTTCTGATACCACCTCTTATGTTTTGGAGGTCCGTAATGCTCCTCTTCCAATTTGTAATGTTTTATGTACTTTGTGCTTGAATAATTGAATTTTAGCATATACCGATAATTGATCTAACATATCTTTAAAACTGTTCTTTACAAAGATCTGTTAAGATTTAAGTACATATTTTATTTATAAAACCCTTCAAAGAAAGCTCTGACTTTAAAGCAAAATAATCTTAAACTTAAGTGAAAAGCCCATACCTCTTTTATCTTTGAAATGAATTTGCGTTATTAAGACCCTCAATTTCGTTTGGCTTCCAAATTTTATAGTTGTGCCTGAAAAAATGTACATCTAATTAGCAATGCAAATTTCACATTTTGTTAACCATTGCTATTTTCAATTTAATTTTGCTATTTGTATACATTAAGTCGTCAATGAATATTGAATAAAAAAATAAAAACAATTTGATTTCTGACACTAATTGTTCGATCCAATCACTGTGGAAATAATGTGCTGTACATTTATTCAATGATTCACTCCGCCGTTTCATTTAACTGCGAACAAAACATCTGAAACACCATTTCATCTACTAATCCATTCTTTAAATACCTGCTTTCAGAAATATGAATATAAATGATGGCTTGGTAAATGAAATGCAGCATTGAGTAACTCAACAACAGTTTTTTTTAATTCCAAATTGCTCTTTAAGATCTACAGATATATATCCCTTCTAATGTACGTTCAGCGAGTTTAAGCTTTGAAGCAAGAATTTGTTTAATATATTTTTCTATGATTGTATGGGAAAATATTAGCATCTATTTGTGTATTCAAAATAGATGCCTTTATTTTACGAGAAAAGTATATTTAAGGGACCTATAAACTTGTTTATAGGTCCCAAGTATTTGTTATTTGAACGTTGGCTTTAAAGGGTCGGGTTTGGTTGACAATTCTAGTGTAGTATATAAAAGGTCGGGTTTGATCTTCACATTCCTTTCTCCAGAACCTTTCGAAGGTAAAGACGCGTAACAATTGCTTGCAATTAAATACATGAAATTTTGTTTTGTAACTTTAAAGTTTGTATGATTTTTCATTTATGCATTGTTCTTAACCATTTTAACGCTGTTATTACTATCGATGTGCATTAATTATGACGGATGAGATTGGATTCAAACACTTTACAAAGCAGACGACGCGCACGCGGTTATACTAAAAATCGTTTAATTATTTACAATGATGTAATGTTGGTTATTAACATTATTAAATCTCTTTTTGTTTCATACTGCTTCGAAACCCGGCAAAAGCAAACTAGAATAGGCCCTATGCATGTGAACAACAATAAGGAAACCCGGTCGGAGCTTCTCGTGGACATGGACCCAAAGACAAGACTAAAAGTCAAACAAAGGCATTGAAAATTATCTTCAAATCGTTTGGAAAACCAAACATTGAAATAAGTATAATCACAGATTAACAGTCCAGTATATCAGGTACATAAATCACCTCTGTATTTCATTAATAAGTTGAGTGTGTATACATGTATACTTGAATTGTCTTTTCCACTGTAGATTGACACCAAATTATAAGCAATGTCTGCCAGCATAGCTTTTTGTTGCTTCTATAACTATTTGTTTACGAAATGTTAACTTTCAAGATTAGAAGGGGAAAAATGACTTTGGAAAAGAATTTTAAAAGAGAAAGGGGGGGGGGGAGGGCTAACTGGAAACAAAAACTAAGTAACAGAAATCAAAAATGAATCAGAAACAAAATGAAATTAAATATAACAACCAGTAAATCTTACAAATTAGGTTGCAATAAAATAATCTCCCAAAATATCTGCAGATCTACATTCAAATCATAAAATGTTTCATTGATATCTCTCAAAATATAAGGACTTGCAGTTGTCTGAAAGTTGTTTAAAACTACGATCAAAATAACCCAATAGATTGTTTTAATATGCTCTTTTAATATTAGGTGCAGATAATGCAGCAGCTTAATTTTTCAACATAAGAAGAATGTTTCAGACCCATTGCACATTTTCATTAAAAAATTTCATTTGTGAGATTATATTCAATTTTTCTTTTATAGATATTCAGGTATGTAATGTAAACAGTTGCAACGTTTTGTTTGATTGTAGGAAGAGAACTTGGTGAGTCTTTTAAATCCAAGGAATATTAGGCATTACGTAAATCATGGCTAAGAACTATTTGGCTTAAGGCATTATCTAAAATATGGCTCAGAACAATTAGGCATTATGACAACCTGGCTGAAAACTACTAGGCATTACTTGGCCTTATGCGGCTCAAACTATTGGGCATTACATGCAACATTGCTCAGAACAATTAGGTATTAACTACAATATATCTGAAAACTACTAGGAATAACTAACAACATGGCTCAACCTGGCTCGGAACTATTGGGCATTACTTATAACATGGCTCAGAGCAATTAGGCATTAATTACAATATGGTTGAAAACTACTAGGCATTACGTACAACATGGCTCAACCTGGGTCAGAACTATTATTAGGCATTACTTACAACATGGCTCAGAATTATTAGGCATTACTTACAGCATGAGTCAGAACTGTTAGGCATTTCAACATGGCTCAAAACTACTAGGCATTAATGCCAACATTTTTCAGGCTGACATAGTATATATCTCAAGTTTGTGATGAATGTAAATAAAAAGGAGAATGAAGTACATATCTTTTTCCAGAGTAGTTTTGTGATAGTTAATTAAATGTACCCAATTTTACTAGAGTTTAGTTCTTTGTATTCATGAAATATTACTATCGAATGTTGTGAAAGCCCCTGATATTTATAAGGCAAGGGATAAGACCAATTGCATATCATAAATTTTATAGATTTACACTGAACTTGGGCATCCTACTCATTATAGTTGACTTCAAGAAGAAAAGAGATCTAAATTTGGGGTCGGGAGAATGATCCTCTGGAAAATGCCTTTCTCAAGTCTGTATTTGTTTGGGCTTTCTGATCATTGGTTCATGTTAGTTATTCAATTGGAAACGAAATGGTCATTGAAATATAGTAAGACAAAGGTAAAAATGAGAAAGGGGGGGGGGCATCTTCATTGTTAAACAGCATAATGTATCAATTCATATTAATTCTTGAATAAAAAGGAAAATACAAAATACTTATATATAATCATAAACCATCCATTGCCTAAGACTGGACTTACTGGGATAGTTTTGTTTTGATCCAATAAAGTGGAAATGAAAGGTTGGAAATTGCAATATGTAATCCAAGAAATGTCAAGAATGTTTTGTAATCATTTATAAATGAATATATTTTGTTTTTAATAATTAAAGCAAAAAAGAAATAGTCAAATCTCATAATCTTAAAATTTTGAGATTAGGAAAAGCTTTCAGTAGAGATATTGGATATTTGAGATGTGGGTAGATATGACCTTCCAGATCAGTTCAGGTTACTTGAAATAACAGTGTTGGAAATACCAAGTTAAATTACAATTACTTCTAGAATCCAAGTTAACTTTTAGGACATGCAACAGAATGTATGTTGCAAATAAACTTATTTAAACTATTTGGTTATATTTAAACACAAGAAGTGACACAATTAGGCAAGTTCCTTAAATCCCTAACAATGTATCAATTAATTTTCAAAAGAGTTCTCACAGAAAGTTTATATGTTTTTTGATTTTTATACAGATTGCTTAATCTTGAATGTGCATTTGACTTCATTTTAAAGATGTTTGGGCTATTCAAGTTCCTTACAGTGTGCTTTTATTTTGTAACTCTGTTCTTATTATGAAGACTTTAAAATTTAGGACTGCGCATTGTCCCTTAGGCTTGCATTTATAACGAATTTCACTTGGTGTATGTTTTTTAATCAAAATACTATTAAGAAGGATCAAGCACATATTGATAGCAGCACATGTAATACGTATATTCAGGCTCATTGCATATAATAAATAAAATAAAATATTTCCATTTGAAGTAATTAATAATCAAACATCTATACCTTTAAGAATTTTAGACTTTGCTTTGTATTTTTGGCTACACAGTGCAAGTATGTGGTCAGATAGAGCTGTAGAGCTCAGATGTTCATACATGTACCACAGGCATTAATAATAATTATTGAAAGAATAGATGTAACAGGGAAGGGACTTAGTCAGTTATACATATTAGACATACTAGACATAAATAAGATTAGTCAAGTACACAAGTATTACAAGCATGGGTAATGAAACTGCAACCAAAAAATCCTAGTTTATAAGGTGCCAAATATCTTCCTGGCAGCTTAACTGGTAAGTATGATATACAAACTGGTATACTAGTTATACATATTAGACATACTAGACATAAATAAGATTAGTCAAGTACACAAGTATTACAAGCATGGGTAATGAAACTGCAACCAAAAAATCCTAGTTTGAAAATGGCATCTATAAGGTGCCAAATATCTTCCTGGCAGCTTAACTGGTAAGTATGAAATACAAATTGGAACGCTAATAAATTTGTTACATGTATCAGGTAATGTATCTTTTGTAGGAATATCATTAAACAAGACTAATGTGCTTCCAAAATGATAGTATTGTCTTTTACAGGCATTTGTAACCATCACTAAATAGTGTTGTACCTTCTTGTAATTGAATATGATTAAGAATTTCAAATTGCTCTCCTTAAATTGGCTAATTAGAGAGTGAATGAGTCGCCTTCGGAGATAAAAAAATTGTTTTTTTTTTTCAAACAGCAGGACATGGCTTTCCTAGCAATTTTTAAATCAGGAATTATGATATAGGTTGTTCTCTTGAGTGAAACTCCCCCCTATTTAATTTTTAAAAAACCCAGATCTTTTGATTAACTAAAACCATTTACATCTAACTTGCCTTGAATAATGGAGAGAGAAAAAATTATGGTGGCAAAGAGCATTACAAGTTGCTCAGAAATTTAGAAGGAATTAATAGACAGGTAAGTTTGTACAAGACAAAGCTTTGTTACAGTCCCTGAAACGTTCTACTTTCCCACCTGAACGGTGAACGAACGGTGAACGAACGCAGAGCGAACGGTGAGTGAACGATGTGTGAACGGTGAACGCAACTTGGTGAACGATGTGTGAACGGTGAACGGTGAGTGAACGCAGAACGCGAACGGAGCGCGAACGCGAGCGCAATGTGAACGGTGAACGAACGGTGAACGCAAGATGAACGATTTATTCGGAATGCCTTCGGTCTTTTCCTTGTATTGAAATTATTATTTTATTCTATAATTCAAATTTCAAAAATAAATATAAATACACAAAAGAGAAATAAATAGATGAATAAATAAATAATAAAAAGAAATTCTAAACATACGTATGTT